AGGGAGCTCCACGGAAGGCGCCAGTGGCAGGGCCCGCATGCGTACTCGGGGGTCCATTTCTGCAGACCCCTCACGCTTCGTGGCCCCATAGGGAGCTCCACCGAGGCCCCTGTGGAAGGGCCCGCATGCGTACTCTGGTCCATTTCGGCAGACCCCTCACATGTTTCGTGGCCCCATAGGGAGCTCCACGGAAGGCCCCAGTGGCAGGGCCCGCATGCGTACTCGGGTCCATTTCTGCAGGCCCCTCACACGTTTCGTGGCCTCATGGGGAGCTCCATCGAAGGCCCCAGTGACAGGGCCCGCACGCATATTCGGGTCCATCTCGGCAGACCCCTCACATGTTTCGCGGCCCCATGGGGAGCTCCACCGACGGCCCCAGTGGCAGGGCCCGCATGCGTACTCGGGTCCATATTGGCAGACCCCTTACACGTTTCGGGGCCCCCATAGGGAGCTCCACGGAAGGCGCCAGTGGCAGGGCCCGCATGCGTACTCGGGTCCATTTTGGCAGACCCCTCACACGTTTCGTGGCCCCATGGGGAGCTCCACGGAAGGCGCCAGTGGCAGGGCCCGCATGCGTACTCGGGGGTCCATTTCGGCACACCCCTCACGCTTCGTGGCCCCATAGGGAGCTCCACCGAGGCCCCTGTGGAAGGGCCCGCATGCGTACTCTGGTCCATTTCGGCAGACCCCTCACATGTTTCGTGGCCCCATAGGGAGCTCCACGGAAGGCCCCAGTGGCAGGGCCCGCATGCGTACTCGGGTCCATTTCTGCAGGCCCCTCACACGTTTCGTGGCCTCATGGGGAGCTCCATCGAAGGCCCCAGTGGCAGGGCCCGCACGCATATTCGGGTCCATCTCGGCAGACCCCTCACATGTTGCGTGGCCCCATAGGGAGCTCCACGGAAGGCCCCAGTGGCAGGGCCCGCATGCGCACTCGGGTCCATTTCGGCATGCCCCTTACGCGTTTCGCGGCCTCATGGGGAGCTCCATCGAAGGCCCCAGTGGCAGGTCCCGCACGCATATTCGGGTCCATCTCGGCACACCCCTCACACGTTTCGTGGCCCCATAGGGAGCTCCACGGAAGGCCCCAGTGACAGGGCCCGCATGCGTGCTCGGGTCCATTTCGTCACACCCCTCACATGTTTCGACACCCCCCCAACGAGTTCTTGTGCATCGAGCGGTCTTGTTGATATTTTGCACGAGCGTAGGATGGGTTGGGTTCTGCGCCAGGTCAATGCTATGGAGAGCGCGACGTTCCCACAAGGTTTCTTGTGGACTGGCCTCCACTGTATCGTGGCCGGGGCCATGACCTCTCCCCAGATTTCGCAGCCCTCTCTTCTTGTCTCAACCCGTCCCTGCGCACGTGCCTCGGGCCATAATTGGCAATCCCCCTCTTGGGCGCCCCCGACCTGGTCTCTGGTCCATGCCTGGTTCCTCTCCTTCGGAGCCCTCGCTGTCGCGGCCCCTTGGGGGGAGCGCGTGCATCAGCCACGCGGTTTCGGCAGTATTGCTGTATGTAGAGAGAACATGGATTAATTATATCTTTGTTTGACATGGGTATGAGGATGCAGGGTCGACGGACGCTGGATTCGGAAACGCAGCCGAGATCGTTTGTAGTTCTTCTCGTATGAGTTGCACGTCCGTGCAGGCCAGATCTGGCAAGTCGCGCTTTGCGAATGCCATCGTTGCTAGGTCAGGGACTTGTTGCAGACATCAAGTGGCGCAACGAGTTTGTAGGGTTCGAAGGTGTCACGGTTTCACTCCCACGTCGTTGCTGGCAACTGAGTTGAAGTTTGATCGTGTAGACATTACTTGACCTGTTCTACTTGGGCGTTGCGTAATAGGGGGGTCATAAATGGGGGGGTGGCGAGGGTGGTCCGAAAAGGTACCCAAACGGTGCCTAAACGAGCCCCCTGGGGCTCCGAAGGGGCCCGAAAGGGGCACGAAAGGGGACCGTTTCTGACCCCCCTATTTGTGACCCCCCCATGAAGCCACGCCCAATCTCCCTTTCGATAGTGGCATGGGTACAGAGTGAGCGAAAGCAAGGGGGCGAGGGGAAGTGGACAAAGCGAGGGCGTCAGAGGGGAAGCGAAGGGGTAGGAGGGCAGAGGGCCCAGTTTCGCCGACGGGGACAGGGCCGATAGGGGGGGAACGCGGCGCAGGAAGCAGGCCGATCGGCGAGAGCGGGAGGGGGGGCCGGGGCGCGGGGAAAGAAGACCCCTTACGACGCTCTGGCGGCAGATACCCCTCCTCCTCCTCCTCCTCCGTCCCTCTCCTCCTCCTCCTCCTCCTCCTCCTCCCTCCTCCTCCTCCTCCTCCCTCCTCCTCCTCCTCCTCCTCCTCCTCCTCCTCCTCCTCCTCCTCCTCCTCCTCCTAGGCAGGTGAAGCAAGTGAGCTCTGGAGAGCTGGCGACCGCCGCCTGCTCCCCGCGAGGATACGCTGTCGGACAAGATGGACCGGCTGGGGAGGACGGTCCGGGAGAGCCGCTCGGAGCCGAGAGGCGGCGCCCCCCACGCCCCCCCTGCGATCAGGAGGGGGAAGAAACACACAGACACAATTAATCCTCGATCCCCCAGAAAATGTGGGAAAATATGGGAAGTGGGGGGGAAGACAAAAAAACCCAAAATATGGGAAGATATGGGGAATCTTTTCATTTGTGTGTATTTCTTTGTGTGTCCTGGGGCCCCTTCACCCCCCGCGAGCAGCACAGAACGGAAGGTGACGCGTTGGCGGCGGCTGCCTCGCCCCTCGCTCGCAGGCCTAGAGGTTGACACCAACACCAACGTCGGCGGTGTGCCTCCACCGAGGGAAGAAAGATCCCGATCTCGGTGGTGGTGGTGGTGGTAATATTCTGGCCTCCAGGGTGGCCGAACTATTGCCACCAACACCGAAATCTGGGATCATCTTCCCCCTGTGGAGGCAACCCTCTGTTTTGGTGTTGGTGCCCATTTCTAGGCCTCCAACCCTCCCCCTGCGGGCAGCACGGAAAGGAAGGCAACGACTCGGCGGCGGCTGCTGCGCCCCTCGCGCGCCGCATGCGCATTTCACGCCGGGCGCGCACACGTGGCTTACTCTTAGGTCGGGCCCAGCCCTCTGCAGGAGGAAGATGCAAACATGGCAAACAAATAATATATGGGGACGATCTGTGGACAGTGTGTCGGTATTTTTGGATATTTTTTGTTGACTAATCTTTCTTCCAGAATCCACGGGTGGGAGGACATGCCCGACCTAAGCTTACTCAGGCGAGCTTCCTCGCTCCTCCACGACCTCTAGCGTCCCTAATTCTCGTCGCCCAAGCATCGTCGCACGCGTTCCGCTGGCTACGTCAGTTTCGGGAAGGTCGAGCAGTATAGTGTGTACCGATGGCTCGATAGTGATTGGAGTCTTTTTGCGCTCGTGGTTTCGGTGCTCTCGGATAGATTGACATGAAGCGTGAGACGCGTGTACGCAGCTGGGTAGGAAGTAGACCAGCGGTCAATTGCAATCGATGAGTGTAGCCAGCGAGGTTAGCGTTCCAGGAAACCGTCATCTGAAGCATTCTTCGGGAGTGATGAAATCCTGGCTCGATCGTTTTTTTTACCCGCAGTGACGGGGCCGCGTGGTGGGTGTACGTAAGCTGTACCGAAGCGACGAAATATGAGAACACATATCGGGTGCTGATAGCACGGGTAGTGGACTCCGATGTAGCGACGTGAGCGCTGTTTGGCTTTGACGATGCCAAAGCCAGATTGCGTATGCGCTGCTGTCGAAGGGTCTATTTGGCTGGGTCGCCCTTACGAGCCGAATGGTCGAGGCATGCTTGAAAATCGCTTAGTCGAGGATCTCGCACAGCCACTGTCGTAATCTGCCCGAGCGAGGAGAAGCGATGTGGATCGGTGAGGAGCGAGGAGGGGGGAGGATGATGATGATGAGGAGGAGGCGGAGGCGGAGACAGAGGATGATGATTATGATGATGATGATGATGATGATGATGATGATGATGATGATGATGATGATGATGATGATGATGCTGATGGTGCTGATGATGATGCTGATGCTGATTCTGATGATGCTGATGATAATGATGCTGAACAATGATGATGCTGATGATGCTGATGACGAGTGATGCTGATGCTGATGCTGACGGTACTGACGATGCTGCTGATGATGCTGCTGATGATGCTGATGATGATCATTACGATGCTGTTGATGCTGCTGCTGCTGCTCGTGATGATGCTGATGATGAGGATGATGATGATGCTGATGATGTGATGGGTGATGATGATGATGCTGATGATGCTGATGATGCTGTTGATGATGACGATGCCGATGATTATGCTGATGATGCTGCTGATGCTGTTGCTGATGCTGATGACGATTATGATGATACTTTTGATGATTCTGATGATGATGACGATGATGATGGTGATGATGCTGCTGCTGATGATGATGATGATGATGATGATGATGGCAATGGTGATGCTGATGATGCTGATGATGATGACGACGATGCTGATCGGTACGATGATTGTGGTGCTGATGCTGCTGATGATGATGATGCTGATGATGATGTTCATGCTGATGCAGATGCGGATGATGATGATACTGATGATGATGCTGATGATGATGCTGATGATGCTGATGATGCTGATGATGCTGATGATGCTGATGCTGATGATGATCATGCTGCTGCTGATGATGATGCTGCCGACGATGATGATGCTGATGATGCTGCTGATGATGATGATTATGATGATGCTGCTGCTGATGATGGTAATGATGCTGCTGCTGATGATGATGATGATGATGCTGATGAAGCTGATGATGATGATGATGATGATGATGATGATGATGATGATGCTGATGCTGATGCTGATGCTGATGCTGATTATGATGATGATGCTGATGATGATGCTGCTGATGATGATGCTGTTGATGATGTTGTTGATGATGATGGTGATGATGAGAAGGAGGAGGAGAAGGAGCTGGAACAGGCGGAGGCGGAGGAGGCGGAGGAGGCGGCGGAGGAGGAGGAGACGGAGGAGGAGGACGAAAACGAGGATGATGATGCTGATGATGATGCTGATGATGATGCTGATGATGATGATGCTGATGATGCTGATGCTGATTATGATGATGATGAGGAGGCGGATGAGGAGGAGGAGGCGGAGGAGGGAGACGGGATGAGGGAGGATGTGGAGGAGGAGGATGATGATGTTGATGACGACGACGATGATGATGATGCTGATGATGGTGATGATGATGATGATGATGATGGTGATGATGATGATGCTGATGATGATGATGATGGTGATGATGATGATGATGATGATGCCGCTGGTGCTGATGACGATGCTGATGATGATGATGCTGATGCTGATGCTGATGCTGATACTGATGCTGATGCTGACGCTGATGATGACGACGACGACGACGACGATGATGATGATGATGATGATGACGATGATGATGATGCTGACGATGATGATGACGATGATGTTGCTGATGCTGATGACGATGATGATGCTGATGATGATTATGATGATGATGATGATGCTGATGATGATGATGATGATGATGATGATGGCGATGTCGATGACGATGACGATACTGATGATGATGATGATGATGGTGATGGTGATGATGATGATGCTGATGATGATGATGCTGCTGATGCTAATGATGATGATGATGATGATGCTGATGATGATGGATAACTGATTATTATGATGATGATGATGCTGATGATGATGATGATGCTGCTGATGATGATTATATGATGACGATGAGGATCCTGATGATGCTGATGATGATGATGACGATGATGATATCTGAGCTATAGATGATGCTGATATGATGCTGATGACGATGATGATGATGATGCTGAGGATGATTATGCTGATGATGATGATGAAATGCTGATGATGTGATGACGATGATGATTGATGACGCTGATGATGCTGATGATGATGATGATGATGATGATTATGGAATGATGCTTTTGATGTGATGATGATATGCTGATGCTGAATGATGATGAATGATGAATGAAGAATATGATTATGATGATGATGATGACGATGATGAATGATGATGATGATGATGATGATGATGATGATGCGATGATGATGATGATGATGATGATTATGAATGTGATGATGACGATGATGCTGATGATGATTCTGATGATGATGATGATGATTATGATGATGATGATTACATATCATGATGATGATGAGATGATTAATCATGATGATGATAATCATGATGATGATCATGATGATCAGGAGGAGGAGAGGAAGGAGAGGAGGAGAGGAGTGATGAGGAGGAGGATGAGAGGGCGGAGAAGGACCACATGTTGCGTGCCATGCCCCTCCTGAGTAGGAGGAAGACGAGGAGGAGGAGGAGGAGGAGGAGGAGGAGGAGGAGGAGGAGATCAGGAGTAGGGGATGGAGGAGGAGGAGGCGAGGCGGAGAGGCGGAGGAGGTAAGGAGGAGGAGAATGATGATGAGGAGGAGCGAGGAGGAGGAGGAGGACGAGGAGGAGGGGGAGGGATGGAGGGAGGGAGGACGGGAAGGAGCCGAGGAGGAAGAGAAAGAGTTGGAGGAGGAGGAGAAGGAGCAGGAGATGCGGCGGAGGAGGAGGAGGAGGAGGAGGAGGAGGAGAAGGATACTGATGAAGAAGAGGAGGGTGCCGAGGAGGAGGAGGAGGAGGAGGAGGATGAGGAGGAGGACGAGGACGAGGAAGAGGAGGAGGAGGAGGAGGAGGAAGATGAGGAGAAAGAGGAGGTGGATGACGAGGAGGAGGGGGATGAGGAGGAATGATAACCACGACGAGCACGACGACGACGACGACGACGACGACGACGACGACGACGACTACTACTACTACTACTACTGCTGCTACTATTACGGATCGTAGTATTCCCATCATCGTACTAATTCGAAAAGTATTAGTCTTACCACTCGTGGTACCACTACGACTAGCAGTACTACTAACATGAATGATGATATTTTCAGTATCACTCTTATTCGCATGGGTGCTGATACGATGGGTAGTAGTATACTTTGTCACCATACGAATACTCACAAGCTCACTACTAATATTACTACTACTAATCATATCAGTATTAATAGTACCGACACCTACCAGTACGATTGATACTACTCATACTAGTAGTAAGCATACCATGTTAATAGTACTAGTACTATTAATACCAATTTCAAAAACGGGTACTAACACTACTAATACTGATCACCATGCGAATGATACTCGCACCGCTAATATTGACAACGCTACCATGCATGACAATCATACCATTGGTAATGCTAGCAAGGAGAAGTGGGGAGGAAGCGGATGCGGATGAGGAGGATACGGACGAGGACGAGGAGGATGGTGAGGAGGAGGGGAGGAGGAGGAGGAGGAGGATGAGGAGGAGGAGAAGGAGGAGGAGGAGGAAGAGCAGGCGTAGGAGGAGGACGAGGAGGAGGATGCGGATGATGATGAGGAAGGGGAGGAGGA